CCAAAGAGTCGCGCATCTCCTGGACCTTGTCCCTCACAGACTCAGCACCTTTCAGGGCCTTCGCGGCTTGCTTCTTGGCGGCGGCCTCCAGGAGTTTGGCCTGCTTCTCGCGCTCCTTCTCCTTCTTTGCCTTTCTTGAGTCCTTCTCTTTTTTGCTCTTCTTGTCCGTGCGGCTCTTCCTCTTCTTCTTGTGGCGCCTGCTATCGGAGGAACTGCTGTCGGAGGAACTCTCCGACTTGTCGGATTCGGCGCCAGCAACTTTAGCCCGCTTGCCGCCCCTCTCCGCCACGTCATCGCGGCGCTTGCCCTTCTTTCCTGCCGTGCCCGCCGAGTAGATCGGGACGCGGTAAGTGTTCGTGAACATGCGGTCGGGGCGGATGTCCCACGGATGAGACATGTCCTTGATGGTATCCGTGTCGAACCCGCGGGTCGCCCACACGCTCAGCGGCAAGAACTCGCCGCCTTCCGCATACCACTCGGTGTGCTCTTCGAACCCCTTCATGTACTCGCGGAAGTGGGCGACGACGTCCTTGGCGGTGGTGATGTCCCGCACGCCGTTGTAAAACTGCTTATTGGCCTCGTCGTCGAGGGCGGAGAATTCTGCTGTCGGCCACTCCCCCAGCTCCCTGCTGAGCTGTGTGATCTTGCACGCGCAGCGCGGGCATCTGAAATTGCCCCGCCCCTTGTTGCGCAGCCTGACCTTGTCGTCCAACTGGACCTCGCAGCCGCAGTCCGAGCAGTGCATGCGGAGGTCGTCAATGAACGTCGGCCGACTCGTGGCCACGGGCGCCTTGGGGCGCCCCGCGCGCGAATGGCAAGGCAAAGTGACGAGGGGCGCCTCTCTTTGTCACCGCGCCTCTTCTCGGACCTCAGCTCTCTCGAAAGAGTGGGGCCCGTGAAGAGGCGCGGTGACAAAGAGAGGCGATGCCATGCCATTTGCGAGCAAGGCGCGGGGCCATCGAAGGCTTCGGCTTCGCTGGGAACATGCCGTACTTCGGCGTGCGCCCGAGGCTTGAAGGCGCTGGCGTCGAAGGTGCTGGCGTCGAAGGCGCTGGCGGCGGCGCAGGGGCAGGGGCGTCGCCGAAGACTGCTGGCGGAGCCCCTGGCAGGGCGATGGTTGCAGGCGTCGGCGGGGTCGCAGGCGTCGGGGGCGGGGCGGCAGCGTCGTCGGCGGGGCCCGCGGCGTCGAAATCGGGCGACGGCAAGGAAGCGAAGAACTCGCTCATGGTCCTGGCCCGACGGAGCGGCGGGCGCGACGGCCGCGGGACCACGGGCTGCGGCGGCGGCTGCACCTCGGGATCGTCGCTGCCGACCTCCACGACCTCCGTTGGCGGAGCGCCGCTCGCCGGCTAAGCGGGCGGAAGGGGGAGGGCCCATCTCTCTCTCTCTCCTTCATCTCTCCTCTCTCTCATCTCTCTTCCTCTCTCGTCCTCATCTCTCTCTCTCTCTCACTCTCTCGTCTCTCTCTCTCTCTCTCTCTCTCTTTCTCTCTATATCTCTATTATCTCTCCGCTCTCTCCTCCTCACTCTCTCTCTCTCTCTCTCTCTCTCTCTCTCTCTCTCACTCTCGTCCGTCTCTCTTCTCATCTCATCTTTCTCTCTCTCCTCTCATCCCTGTCTCTCTCCTCTAAACTCTCACCTCCTCGTCTCTCTCTCTCTCTCTCACTTTCTCTCTCTTCTCTCTCATCTCTCAGTCTCCCCCCTTTCTCTCCTCTCGCTCTCTCTCTCTCTCTCTTCCTCTCCCTCTCTTTCTCTCTCTCTCTCTCTCTCTCACTCGTCCTCATCTCTCTCTCTCTACTTCTCGTTCGTCTCTCTCTCTCATCTCTCTCGACTTCCGTCTCTCTCTCTCTCTCTCTCTCTCTCTCTCTCTCTCTCTCTCTCTCTCTCTCTCTCTCTCTCTCTCTCTCTCTCTCTCTCTCCTCTCTCTTAGCGAACCCTTGGCCGTCAAAGGGGGGCGACCGTGCAGACCCCCCCCCTAAAAAAAAGTAACACTGGGCGCCCTGTGTGCTTCAGTTGCGCTCCTCCGTTCCCCTTTCTCCCTCCCTGACGTCCTCCTCCTCCTTCTCCTCCTCTCCTCCCGCCTAGGTGATCTTCAGTCTCCTTCCTCCTCCTCTCCTCCTCCCCCCCCTCCTCCTCCTTCTCCTCCTCCTCTGCCTCCCCCTCCTCCTCGCCAAGCGCGACGTCGCCTGGCGCGCCATCATCTCATCCTCCTGCCGCTGGAGGTCCTGCGGGCTCATCCTGCAAGTCGGGCGCTGCAGACATGACAGGGGCGTGCTGCACACCCTCACAACCTCTTCGATGCAGACCGTGTGGAACCTGTGAAGGCACTGCAAGATCTCGATCCGCACGTCCTGGGCGTCGTTGCCATCGGGGTCCTCGCGCAGCTCGCAGCGGCAGATAGCGCACATCTCCTCGACGTCGGCCGCTGGAATGCTCTCGGGGGCTTCGCTGAGCGCCATGCCGCTGCGACCCTCGCTGCCGAACTCAGCTGCCCCGTGGCCGTCCTCGGCCGCGCGGCTGACGCCGTCGGCCCCGTCGAGCGCGTCGCGCTCGCTGCCCTCTGCCGAGTCGCCGACTAGGGACACTCCGAGCTGTCCATCGAGGGGGCGCGGGACTTCAGGCTCATTGTGAGCCATCGTGAACTCGGTCGTTCTAGCGGATATGCCGCTGAGCGTCGAAGCGCTTAAGCCAAAATGGCTTATGACAACCAAACACAGTTGCGGAAATGCAGCTGGTCCGCGGAGGGTGCGCGGGGGGAAGAGAAGGCCCCCTCCCGCGGCCTCTTGAGCCCTCTTGAGGGCCATCTGAGGGCCCTCTTGGAGCCCAAAACGGCGGCCGACATAAGTGGTGATAGCTATCTTGGTCCAAGAAAGCTTTCACCACTTTTTGGGGGCCCTTAGGGCCCTCTTAGAGCCCTCGCGAGGCCTCTTGAGCCCTCTTGAGGGCCATCTGAGGGCCCTCTTGGAGCCCAACACGGCGTTCGAAATAAGTGGTGAAAACTATCTTGGCCCAAGCTAGCTTTCGCAACTTGATTAGGGCCCTGTTGGGGCACTCTTAGATCGCTCTTGAGGCCTCTTGAGCCCTCTTGAGGGCCTGAGGGTCCTCAGGCCTTCTTGGGGCCCTCTTGAGGCCTCTTGAGCCCTACTGAGCTCCTTCCTCCGTCTCATTCTCCGCCTCCCTCACTTCCTCCTCTGCCCGTGGAAGGCCGACCTCCTGCTTGCCCGCCTATCCGCCTCCCCCTCCCCCTCCGCCCCCTCCCCCCCCCTCCCCCCCGCCCTCCCACCCCCCCTCCCCTTCCCGCCGCCCTCCACCTCTGAGAGCAGTCTGCGGCTGGCAGGGTCCCCGCGCGGCGCCGAGGCTGGCGGGGTCGGGGGGCGAGGGCGGGGAAGGGGGAGGAGGGGGAGGGGGGGGGAGAGAAGGAGAAGGGGGGGGGAGGAGGAGGGGGGGGAGGAGGAGGAGGAGGGGGAGGAGGCGGAGGACTGGACTGGACTGGACTCCTGGAGTTCGGTCGGTTGCGGGATTTTGGGGCCCAACTGGATTGAAACCTGGCTTCGCGAAAGAACACTGAGTGGCGTGCCCTTCGGGCCGCCTTCCTCTCTACGGCCTCTGCGCTCGGGCGGGGCCGCGCTGCCTCATTAGGGGCAACCCCCGATATGGCACGCAGCCTAGAGGCGCCACCTGGGGACCGATGAATTGCAGTCGATCCCCGTGGCCAGAGAGTACACTGGTCACCAAAGGATCAACACAAAATTTGGTGGCGACCGTGGGGCCACATGGGGAGAAACGCGGAACGCTTCGTGCAGCAACAAAATCAAATTTGTCGCGGGTGCGCTGCGGGCAGCCCGAGGAGGGGGAGGAGGAGGAGAAGGAGGAGGGGAGGAGGAGGAGAAGGAGGAGGAGGAGAAGGAGGAGGAGGAGGAGCACCCTCAACAAAATCAAATGCGCTGCGGGTATGCTGTGGGCACCCCGAGGAGGAGGAGGAGGAGGAGGAGGACTGCCACGGGGCGGGGGTGGGGGGGGCGCCTCTCGAGGCCCGAAATCCCTGGCAGCGCGCCAGATCAAGGCCTGCCAAGTGGTGAGCGGAAGAGCCGCTTGATACTGGCAGCGCGCCAGATCAAGGCCTGCCAAGTGGTGAGCGGAAGAGCCGCTTGATAAGCGCTGGAGGCGTCGGGGACAAGGAGGATGAGATGAAAGAGGAGGAGGAGGAGGAGGAGGAGGAGGAGGAGGAGGAGGACGAAGAGAGGAGGAGGATGACGAGGAGGAGGAGGATAAGGAGGATGGGGGGGAGTGATGACGATGAGGGCAGGATGAGGAAGAGGAGGGAGGAGGCGGGGGAGGCAGGACGGTGGAGGAGGTGAGGTGACAGAATGAAGGGGTGTCATGTAAGGAGGATGATGATGGTGGTTTGCATTGCGTTTTCAGACGTTGCGCTAGACCCTGACAACGGCCTGATAACACGTTATCAGGTTTCTACACATGCGTTATCACGGTCGTGGTAACGCATTATCACGATATGCGTGATAACACCATGTACCGAGTGATAACGTCAACACGTTTCCTGATAACATGTTATCAGGTGCGTTATCACGCATGTATGCGTGTGTTATCAGACATTGTGATAACATGTTATCATGGTATGTCACTCGTTATCACATGCTGGTGATAATGTGTTGGTAACACAACCATGGTGCATGAATCGTGCGGGTGCGCTGTGCGCGTCACACCTGACGTGGGCTCTCATTTGTGCAGGGTGTAATGCCTCTGCGCAGACGGATGAATGTTTACCGAGCAAAACGCGCGCACAAGCTACACTCGTAGTGTAATTGAACAGACGCACGCAAGCATCCGCAAGCTGCAGCGTGAGTCGGTGGTTGGCGCCCGATACTTGCCGAACCCGCCCTCGCCCCGACGAGGGCAAGGCGCAGCGAAGCTGGGAGATAGAATCCTACAGTGATCTGCGCATGCAACCTCCCTGCCCACCAAGACTGTACCTACATGTACTAGCAAACTTTGAGCTTGTCCCACTTGGACGCGGCGGCAGCGTACGCCTCCCTGGCAATCGCCAGAACCTTGGCTGGCGACATGCCAGCGACGGATGCCCGCTTCTTCGTGTTGTCGTAAGCTTTCGACGTGAAGGCACCGCGGGTGGTCTTCTTCATCGTGGACTTGGTGATGGACAACAGGTCGGAATAGTCAATCCCTTTCGTCTTCCCGCTGCCGCCCTTGGTAGCGGCCTTCATCGCCGACTTCATGGGCGGCGGAGTGGCCTTGCGAGCGGCCTTCATCACCGACTTCATGGGCGGCGGTGTCGTCACTACATCGTCCTCATCTGATGCATCGTCGCCCTCGTCCTCGGCGGCGTCATCCTCGCCCTCGTCCTCGGCGGCGTCGCAGATGGCGGCGCAAGCTGGCTTCTTAGAAACGCTGAAAGCGCGCTTCCTGCCCTTGGCGGCGAGCCCCTTCTCCTCCATCATCTTCATCGCGTTATGCACGGAGTCCTTGAGGGAGACCCTTGGGGGGGCGACGGGCTGATCACCAGGTGCGGCTGGCTGGTCTCGATGGCGCTGGGGCGTGACTTGGATGGCGCCATGGTCGGGCGCCGACTCTGGCTGGGGCAGAGGCGCCATGCTACTTTCATGGTGCCCATCGGCCTGGTCCAGCGGCGGCGCAAGGTCGCCGCGCTGCTGGTGTGGCGACGGAGCGCTCTGCTGGCGGTGGTGGTCTGGCGTCAACAGCTGCAGCCGATTCGAGCTCGGGCGTCCACCAGCACGCGCGCCCTGGGAGAACACTTCCAGGTTCTCGAGGAGGCCGTTCCCAGCACCGCCGCTGCCTGAAGCCGCAGCGCCACCGCGATTACCCGCCACGAGCTGCATCGCGTTGATGGCAAAGGCCTGCATCTGCTGCATCTGCTGCTGCGACTGGAGCAGCATCTGCCTGATGTCCGACTGCGGCTCGATGGGGGCAAGCGCCAGGGATGTCGCGCTAGACTGGGCGCCGCGCTGGAAGTCCAGCTCGGGCCCCGAGCCGCGGCACCTGTATGAGTTGTCGATCTCGAGCAGCCTCTGCATGTTGAGCGGGCACCTCATGGGCCCGTCGCCAGGCCTGGTGCTGAACGCTTTGTTGTGCGCGGCAGGGTAGAGCGTGGCGAACTCGTCTGGCAGAGAAGGCAGTGTGTCGATACGCTGATCCATCATCAGCCTCGGCGTCTTGTCTGCAATGCGCCTGTATTCTCTCTTGACGTAGAGGAACTGCTTTTTCTTCTGAAAGAACGACATCGGGTCCACAGAAGGGTCGCAAAGCATAAGCCAGAGCGAAGTCATTAGCTTGTTCGAGTATTCGCACACGTTGCGCCCCCCGAGGCGGATCACACGCGAAATGATGAGAGACAGGATCGCCGACGAAGACGGATTCTCCTCTAGCATCTTCTTCCATTCGGCCTCCGTGAAAAATTCCACGAAGCTCGTGTACTTCTGGCCAACGTTGCCAGTGGTGCTCTGGCGCGGCGCAGGTGATGCCACGAGCAGGGACATGATCTGGGCGTCGTGGCCGTCGAACCAGTTCACCTGGCTGGACATCAGAGCCAGGGTTGCTTTCTCATCTGGGTTGAGCTGCGCGCGCTGGAGCATGTAGACCACGGCGTTGGCCTGGGCCTTGGATAGCTGCTCGTGCCGCGCCCCGCTGAGGTCTGCCAATGCAGACCTGACTGCGCCAAGCCGTATCCGCAACGTCGGCGCGTCTGACATGGCGTGCAGAAAGCGGAGTAGCCGCTGAGCTGAGTTAACCAGCTGAGCCAAAAAACGGCTGAGGTGGAACGGTTGAAGCGGAGAAGCCGCTGGGGTTAGCCAAAAACGGCAGGGCTTGGGAATGGCAGGGCGAAGCGGATAAGCCGCTGAGGGGCCCGAATGATGGAGGAGGGGAGCTGGGGGAGGGGTGGGGGGAGGGGGCGAGGGGCGTGCGCCCCATCAACAACCACGTAACATGAATACTACCCCCCTCTTCCTCAACATGGTGTGTGTGTGTGTGTGCGTGTGTGCGGCCCCCACCGCGCGTTCTGCGCAAGGGGAGGGGCCCTCGAACGCCAAGGGGGCCAAACTGTCCACGGGGCCCCGCCCACCCCGCGAGATGGGACAAACGCGATGGGGGGGGGAGGGAGGGTGCGGCCGCTGCAGTGACACTGCTGGTGATGGCGCTGTGTGTCAGGATCATGGCAACGCTGGTGGTCGTACTGGTTGTGATGGTGTTGATGTCGATTGTGGTGATGACAGTTGGGTGCCCCCCTTCTAATATGGTGGCTGTGGTCATGATGTGCATGATGCTGTTGATTGAAAGGCTGACCACCACCTGTCGCGATGGCAACAAGCGAGGAAATGTAGGTGATGGTAATGAAGGTGACGGATACGACAAGTGCGAAAATGGCAGTGGCGCCAATGATGTTGATTAAATCCGAGGGCCGTGCTGTCCACGGAGCTCTTACGCCGTCGCACAACAGGGGCGGGCGACGTCCACTGGCCTAGAAGCTGTACGAACCCCAGAAGTCAGTCTTACGCAAGTGGTACCTGCTGAGCTCAAAACCCCTGCCCAACACCGCTGAAAACTTGTCACCGCCAACAGAGTGCACGACGCCAACCTCGTCGACCTGGAGCTGCGAACCCGTCTTGAGGACCCAGATGCACGGCTCTGGCGGGCCGATGAAGACCCCGTCGGGAAGAACGATCGTCGGCTGGTCCGTCGAGCCGTCCGGCCTCGGCTGGTCCGTCGAGCGGGCCGTCTTCGGCTGGTCCGTCGAGCGCACCGTCGTCGGCTGGTCCGTCGAGCGCACCGTCGTCGGCTGGTCCGTCGAGCTGTTCGTCTTCGGCTGGTCCGTCGAGCTGTTCGTCTTCGGCTGGTCCGTCGAGCGCGCCGTCTTCGGCTGGTCCGTCTTCGGCTGGTCCGTCGAGCTCGGCGTCTTCGGCTGGCCCGTCGAGCGCGCCGTCGTCGGGCTGGGCGTCGGGCTGGGCGTATTCGCCTCCTCGCGCTTCTTGGCCTTGAGCTGCGTGGCCAGAATCGCGGCGGTCGCGCCGATCGGCGCGCCCGCGTAGCGACGCGGGAGAGGCGCCAGGGCCACGGGCATGAGAGGTGAGAGGTTGAAAGGTGAGAGGTGGGAAGTGAAAAGGTGAGAGGTGGGCGGTTGAAAGATGCAAAGCGGATGCGCCGCTGGTTAACCTTGGCTCAAGCTTAAACGGCGGCAGTATACGCCGATGAAAGAGCGGGAAGCCCGCTGGATGAAAATGAAAAAGCGGAAAACCCGCTGGATGATAATGAAATGGCGAGCGAGGAGAAAGAGGGGGAGGAGGACGCGGAGGAAGAGGAGGAGGAGGAGGAGGAGAAGGAGGAGGAGAAGGAGGGGCAGGAGGAGGAGGAGAAGGAGGCGGAGAAGAAGGAGGACGGGGGAGGAGGGGCGGCACTTGGGAGGACGCACAGGCAGAGGAGGAGGAGGTGCTGGGGGAGAGGCAGGACACAAAGGCCGCCACGCCACTTAGGGGAGCTGTAGGTCTGATTTTGACGCAAGGCCCGATACGAGCTCCCGAACGCGGTCGACAACGGGGGCAGGGGGAGGGGGTCGTGGGGGCGTTGACGAACTGACCCAGGAAGCGAACGCAAAGCGTGAGCAGTTTTGAAAAGCATCCGCCCTCCATCGTCGACTTCGCCAGCTAAATCGTAAACCTTCTGTGCGTGCTTTGGGATCGGCCACGAGAAGATGATAATGAATTCCTCCTCCTCCGAACCGCCAGCCCCTCAAAAAAGGGCTACTTGGGCGCTAGTACAAGACGCATGGTGCGCGCGCCCCCAGGTGCAAAAAAGACGCGCGCACGCCAAGCAGCGCCCGTCCTGGCGGGCACCCCGCACTGCGGGGAGGGGCGGCGGAGGCGCCAGCGCGCTCCTGTAGCTGTCCTCCTCCTCCCCCGTACCTAATCCCAAAGATGCCCTAAAACGAATGCCCCAGAGCGCCCAAGAGCCTCGGGGGTGATTAACAGTTTCTTGGCATACCCCCCCCCCCCCCCCCTCGCTGGCAAAGGCGACGACGATTCAAGCGATGACGGCGGCAGCGACGGCGACAGCGATGACGATTATCGGAGGCGCCCCCGCGGACGCGCAGTGCAGTGCGCGGGTGCGCAGGGCATGCGCAAATTCCACCAGCCCGTCGGGCTTTTGGCTTGTGAAGGAGGAGGAGGAGGAGGAGGAGGAGGGCGAGGAGGGGGCGGAGGAGGAGGGGGAGGGAGAAGGTGGAGGAGCAGGAGGAGGGATAGGGAGAAGGTGGAGGAGGATGAGGGGGAGGAGGAGAAGGATGGGAGGAGGAAGGCGATGAGGGAGAGGAGGCGGAGATTGATGATGAGGAGGGCGATGAGGATAAGGATGAGGATGAGGATTCGAGGAGGAGGAGGAGGAGGAGGAGGAGGAGATGTGGGCATAGTCGTGGCCTGCGTAGGTTCCATCGGGTGCTATTGTGGCTGTTGAAGGATCCTTTTGGGGTGTCCTCTTAAGGCCTGCAGAGGGGGCTGTGGGGTGGGTCATATGGGGTGTGTTGGGGGGTTCGCGCAGCGTGAATGATTGCAACGCCTACCGAGCCTGCGTGCTGCTTCATCCTTCTCCTCGCTTTCTTCTGTTCCCCATCCACCTCTATCGGCCCTCACTTGCTGTCGCTAAGTTCCTTATGTTCTTGCCACCTCTCCATCTCTCTCTCTCTCTCTCTCTCTCTCTCTCTCTCTCCCTCTCTCTCTCTCTCTCCCTCTCTCTCTGTCTCTCTCTCTCTCTCTCTCTCTCTCTCTCCCTCTATCTCTCTCTCTCGCTCTCACGCGCTCTCTCTCTCCTCTCCTCTCTCTCATCATCTCTCTCCTCTCTCCTCTCCCTCTCTCTCTCTCTATCACGATCTCTCTCTCACTCTCCCTCTGTCTGTCTGTCTGTCTGTCCTGTCTGTCTGTCTGTCTGTCTGTCTGTCTGTCTGTCTGTCTGTCTGTCTGTCTGTCTGTCTGTCTGTCTGTCTCTCTCTCTCCTGTCTCTCTCTCTCTCATCTCTCTCTCTCTCTCCTCTCTCTCTCTCTCTCTCTCTCCTCCTCTCCTCTCTCTCTCTCTCTCTCTCTCTCTCTCTCTCTCTCTCTCTCTCTCCGCGCCTCCACCTCGCACTCAACCTCTCCCCCCTTTCTCCCACGCCTCCCGCCTCCCAATCCCACCTCCCAATCCCCTCCTCCCACCTCCCAATCCCCTCCTCCCACCTCCCAACCCCCGCCCTTCATGCAGTGGCGCGCCCCGCAGAAGACTGGGCGGGCGGCTTCGGGTACCACCGCCGAAACTCGGAGAGCCAGCCCTCCTTCTCGGCGGCGGCCTTCATCGAGTGCCAGATCACGTTGGGGTTCCTCTTGCCGCCGCGATCGCCGTAGCGGCCAGACGCCCTCTTCTTGCCGCTCCCAACGCGGCGGTTGCCACTAATGACCTTGGCACCCGAAGCGCCCTGCGCCACATCCGTCTCCTCGGGGCTGCCCTGCGCCACTTCCGTCTCCTCGGGCTGCTCCTCGGGCGCGCCCTGCGCCACGTCCGTCTCCTCGGGCGCGCCGTTCGCCTCGAACGGACCCCTGACCAAGAATGCAGGTTCCCCGCGGGACGCGGATGCCATCACCAGCGGCGTCGGGCTCGCAGGGGATGCCGAGGATGGCGCAGCCGTCGACGAAGCCCGAGCGCTCGACGCGGGCGCACTCGCCGTCGGCGGCCCCTCAGGGCTCGGCAGGCAAGCCGAGGGCGACGACGCCGTCGACGAAGCCCAAACGCTGGACGCGGGCTCAGACGCCATCGGCGGCCCCGCAGTGGTCGGCAGGCAAGCCGAGGATGACGAAGCAGGCGAAGCCCAAACGCTGGACGTCAGCTCGTGCCCCTTAGGTCTCGGCAGCGGCGGCATCCCCGCAGCGGTCGGCAGGCAAGCCGATGATGACGAAGCAGGTGAAGCCACTCTGCTGGACGCGAGCCCCTTAGGTCTCGGCAGCGGCGGCTTCATCGCAGCGGTCGGCAGGCAAGCCGATGGCGCCGAAGCAGGCGAAGCCAATCTGCTGGACGCGAGCCCTATAGGTCTCGGCAGCGGCGGCCGCCAAACGCCCCCAGCGGCCCACGAATCCCAGTGCAAGGCCCCGTTGCCATCGGATGGCCACGGCAGCGACATCGCCCAACTCCAAAAGGCCGTAGTGTCGGGGTCCGCGAAGTGCACAAACGTGGCCCCGACCCCACCCCCGCTATAAACAGACATGGCTACGGGCGGGAGGGGTGGGAAAGGTTGGAGGTGCAGTGGACAACCAAGACGCGAGCGAACAGAACCCGCCTTCTGCCAAATGGTACAACATCGCGGGGCGCGGAGGCCCCCGCGAAAACCAGAAATGGCCCGAGATGGCAACTGAGGCCGCCCGAGGTGGCTCCAAGAAGGGCTCCGCAAATGGGTGCATGCCAGGGGCCGCGCACGATTGTGCGCATGAGGTGGGTGTCTGCGCCATGGCAAGGGGTGGGAGGGAGTGGGAGGGCGTCAGATAAGACGAGCGCGCACCTAGCTTGCCTCATCCCCTCTATCTTCACCCTTCCTTCCCCTCATCTCCACCCCTCCCCCCTCCCCCTCTCTCTTCAAAATGAATGATGAGGCCATGGGCTGCTGGACGAGCGGAAGAACCGCTAGACGAGCGGAAGAGCCGCTATACGAGATAGGGGAGGGAATTCCCTCCCCTATCTCATCCCCTCTCTCTCCCCCCTCCCTCCTCCATCTCCCCCCTCTCATCCCCCTTCTCTATTCCCCCCTCCCCCCCTCCGCCACCTCGCCCTCCCTCGCCCGCCCCCTCCCCCCCCCCCCCCAAGCAGCCCGCTAGGTGGCCGTGGTGGCCTCCCTTATTCCCCTCATCATATTAGGCTTCTGTTAGGCCCACGTTGCCTCCTTTTTTTCTCCTTATCCTCATCCGTCCTGGTGCCTGAACTTTGATGTGCTGCGCTATGCCTTGGTACGCTGAGCAACGCTTTGTCCTGTTATACAGGACGCGCTGTTCGGGCCATATCATGGGCGATGCTATGCTATGCTGGACTATGCTCCGCTAACCGAGCCGTGCGTCCGCGCGGTGCTGGGCAGTAAAATGAATGATGAGGTCATGGACTGCTGGGCGAGCGGAAGAGCCGCTAGACGAGCGGAAGACCCGCTGGACACCGCGTGCCACAAGTGAATAGGAATTTGACGCTGCCTAATTAATTGGTTTCTGACACATGTGTGGCTCTATTGCGTGATTGGGGATATCGTGATCGTCGTGCCCTTATGTGAGATTGTAGCATTTCAATGTTCTGTTTTTCCCAACCATCCTGTGGTGTTGGGTCCCCGTTTTGAAGAGACGGTGCCCCGCGTCTCCTCCTCTCCTCCTCCTCCCCCTCCTCCTCCCTCCTCCCCCTCTTCCCTGCGTTTCACCCACCCAGTGCAGCGTTTCGTAGTAGGAGCTCCACCGAAGGCCCCAGGACCCGCGCCCGCATGCGTCACCCACACCCAATTCGGCACACCCCTCACACGCTTCGTGGCCCCATAGTGAGCTCCACCGAAGGCCCCAGTGCCCGCGCCCGCATGCGCCACCCACACCCATTTCGGCACACCCCTCACACGCTTCGTGGCTCTAGGGAGCTCCACCGAAGGCCCCAGCGCCCGCGCCCGCATGCGTCACCCACACACATTTCGGCACACCCCTCACACGCTTCGTGGCTCCATAGGGAGCTCCACCGAAGGCCCCAGTGCCCGCGCCCGCATGCGTCACCCACACCCATTTCGGCACACCCCTCACACGTTTCGTGGCTCCATAGGGAGCTCCGCCGAATGCCCCAGTGCCCGCGCCCGCATGCGTCACCCACACCCATTTCGGCACACCCCTCACACGTTTCGTGGCTCCATAGGGAGCTCCACCGAAGGCCCCAGTGCCCGCGCCCGCATGCGTCACCCACACCCATTTCGGCACACCCCTCACACGTTTCGTGGCTCCATAGGGAGCTCCACCGAAGGCCCCAGTGCCCGCGCCCGCATGCGTCACCCACACCCATTTCGGCACACCCCTCACACGTTTCGTGGCTCCATAGGGAG